TCGGTGCCCGGCGGGCGGCGTTTCCTGGTCAGGAATCACACATTTGAGGGAACCGGAGCCCATTCAGAGCCGCTTAGGCGACAGCGAGGACGGACTCTCTTGGAACCTGAGTCTCCGAGGCCTGGACGGCAAGCAGCCGCGCCCACCCCTCCTCCACTCCAGTTCCCCGGCGCCCACCCCTCTGCTCCCCGGGACCGGGCCTCCTGTCGCCGAGAGGGCCTCGTTTCCGAGTGTGGACCCCAAGTCTCACCTGCCCACAGCCTCCTTCCCCTTCACACCCCAAGGCCACATCTGGGGCCTGACCGGGCGGTGGGTGCCTGGTGAAGGTTTGTCATCGGGCTCCTCTCTCTGCCTTCTCGCTGTGTGGCCTTAAGCAGGTGGCTCAACCTCTCTGAGCCTCAGACAATCATACCGGTTCCAGTGGGGGAAGGTGGGAATACACAGGCCCTGGGAGACGAGCGTGAGAGCGTGAGAGAGGGGGGAGCGCTTGGGGACCCCCCTGCGGCCCCGTGTTCTCCCTGCTTCCGTCTCGAGGGGGAGGGGCGCCCATTGGAGCCCCCCAACCCAGCAGATGACATTTCATGCTATAGCCCCAAGTATCTGTTTCCCAGGAAACAAGTGAGAGAGGGTGGCTGCAGCAACCCACAGGCTCACGCGCACACGCACGCACACACGCACACACGCACGCACACGCACCCTGGCTGCCACCCAGACTGACAATTAACAGAAATGCAGTAATGTCAGCAGGAGCTAAAAAGACTCTACACACCCCACCTCGGCCTGCTGCTCCCTGCCGCCCGGACACCCAGGGGACACCAGGGATGGGGGACCAGGATGGTGCCCTCTCTGACCCATGGCCCCGCCATGACCTCTTCTGGATGGATGGGCAGGCTTGAGGGTCCCGCCCTGCCCCCTGCCTGCCTGTCTCCTCTGGTTTCTCCAGGGGCCCCCACAGACTTCCCCCAGCAAGTGGCCAGCCACCCCATCTCCCAGTTCCCTCTCGGCTAAAAGGCTGGCCCCTCAGTCCTATTTTTTTTTCTTTTTTTATAAATTAACTAGAGGCCCGGTGCACGAATTCATGCACCAGTGGGGTCCTTTGGCCTGGCCTGTGGGATCGGGCGGAAACTGGCTCTCTAATATCCCCCGAGGGGTCCCGGATTGCGAGGGGGCGCAGGCCAGGCCGAGGGACCCCACTGGTGCACAATCAGGGCCAAGGAGGGACATGGGAGGTTGGCCAGCCGGGGAGGGACCGAGGAAGGGCTCTGGGGCATGTCCGACCCATCTCACTCAGTCCCGATCAGCCGGACCCCAGCAGCAAGCTAACCTACTGGTCAGAGTGTCTGCCCCCTGGTGGTCAGTGCATGTCATAGTGAGCGGTTGAGCGGCCTTAGCATATCATTATCATATTACACTTTGATTGGTTGAATGGACAACCAGACACTTAGCATATTAGGCTTTTATTATATAGGACGTTATTTTATAACATATTTTAATTGATTTCAGAGAGGAAGGGAGAGGGAGAGAGAGATAAGACATCAATGATGAGAGAGAATCGTGGATCGGCTGCCTCCTGCACGCCCCACACTGGGGGTCGAGCCCACAACCCGGG